AACTGTACTAAATATACAGATAGATCCTTCTCAGTAGCGTTCCCCTCCCCCATTTCATATTCCTATCCATATAAAGCAGGATCTTTCAGTCTTCTCATTATGGACATTCAGAGGAAGCAAGAGTTATATTGTGTCGTCCTGGGTGGAATAGAGCGAGCATCACTCCTGGACATTGCCCACTGCACACCAGGACTGTTCTTCCCAGCTCCACCACACATACCAGTTCTGACTACCAATATTTCTCTAGACATTGTATTTTCCATGTGAACTATTCAGCTTAGGAAACCAATGTGCTGAAAAAGAATGCTTTGGCCTGCTGAGTACTTTGAAATATCCATATAAAGCAGGATCTTTCAGTCTTCTCATTATGGACATTCAGAGGAAGCAAGAGTTATATTGTGTCATCCTGGGTGGAATAGAGCGAGCATCACTCCAGGACATTGCCCACTGCACACCAGGACTGTTCTTCCCAGCTCCACCATACATACCAGTTCTGGCTACCAATATTTCTCTAGACATTGTATTTTCCATGTGAACTATTCAGCTTAGGAAACCAATGTGCTGAAAAAGAATGCTTTGGCCTGCTGAGTACTTTGAAATTAGACCGCATTCAATGTGGGAATGGTTTGCACAATGAAGTGTATGAATACTGGAAGGCCTGGTTCTTTAGGAGCTAGCTGTAGTCACCATAGGCCAAGAATGCTGTTTTATGAGGATACTAATCATTCTGTTTGCCTGATAGGCTACCTAAGAAACACATAAAGCTAAAAATGTTCACTGGTTCATTAATTATTCATTAATTAATGTGACAAGGTGCATGGCAGTAATAATAAAATGAATATCATTTGGTGACTTTTGGAAATGAAGACGGGAATGTTCAGCTATGGTGTGATGGTATTAGGGCTAGAAAAAGGTAGACAGGGAGCCTTGGACTACTGAACGAGCGAGCACGTGCCACATCTGCAATCACCAATAGAAATAGCGATAGGCAGACATAAAACAAAACTCTCACTCCAGAGTAAGACGAGGGCTGGAAATATAAACCCATGAATCACCAGCAAGTGGGTTACCACTTGAACTTTGCATATGTGAGGTTCCCTAGAAGGAGTGGACAGGTTGAGAGAAAACAGAAGTTGTGAATCAGAACCCTGGAGTAGATCAACATTTCAAAAGTTTGTGACGAATGCAGGCATGGCGGCTGAAGCCTATAACCCCAGCTCTTGGGAGGCTGATGTAGGAAGATCACTAAGAATTCAACAGCAGACTGCCAGAGTTACATAGAAAATTCCAGATCAGCCTGGCCTACAGGGTAACACCCTATCTCCAAAGCTAAACAACAACAACAAAAGGTTAAGGACAAATGAAGTAGAAGTGGGATTTGAGAGAATGGTCACTCTAGTGGTAAAAATCCAGAGATGTGGGGAGTGAAAGAACTCACAAAGACAAAAGGTAATGCATAAGTAGAGAGTGTAATAGATACTCCACAATACAGGTACAACAGTCAGGAGAAATGACCAGAGACATTCTAAGGGCTGATTTTATGGATGGATTTCTACATAGGCTGGTAATGTTTGAATGTCATTGTGCTCTGGAATATTTTTAGTCAAGGCTGATTGTGGTTAACAACAACCTGGACTTGATGCAGTGACCGGTTTGTCTGGAGTCAGCCTCTGTTACCCATCCTGAGCAGGAGTCCATATTTCCGCTGACACCTCAACAATGTCTAAATGGGGGGCTCTTTATAGTGGCTTCTTTAAGCTGAGTAGGGCAACATTCTGGACCTGCCTACTATTGTTGAACTTACAAGGTGTATGGGGGCAACAACTGGACTAGGGGATGAAAGCTTAAGGCCCTCTGATTTAACTGACTAAGGTACTGCGGCTCAGAGGACAGGAGTAATGAGGGTGATTAGGTTGAAGATGAGAGCCTTTAGTATAAGTAACTGCTGATTCATTAAGTGGAGGTCCCACAGGAGATTTGTCCAACTCGATCTAATGTAGGGTCTGCTGTCCTGGGATGGTCTGTGGCAGATGGGCTGAGAGCTTTGTGGCATAATTATTTGAAGTTGAAATTGAATGTATTCAATTCTGGAAGACAAACCTGATTATCCATTAAAATATTCATAGACTGAAAGCACTGAGAGAATTAAGGACTATTACCAGAGGA